AGGTGTTTGTTGAATGAATAAATGAGTGAGTGAGTAGCTTCCCAGAGTGGACCTGTGCTGGGAGCAGTTGTGGCTTGGAGTTTGCTCTGTGTGGGTCCCAGATGAGGAAGGATGGTAGGCCCAGTCTGGTTGGCACCTCTATCCAGAATATGGGCACCCATAGTGTGCAGATCGGGGTGGTGAATATGTACCTTCATACTTCAAGCCAGAGAGAATGGGGAGAGTGGCTTTCACCTGGCAAAGCTGTAACTGAACAGGATGGGGCGGGTCAGGGCTGGCTCCCAGGTTCTCTGTCACCTCCTTCCCCATTAGACCAGACCCCGTGAGAGTGCATGAGGGGTGTGAGTGCTGGCCCTGCCTGCCTGTTCTGGGTAAGAGGGTGGGGGGCACGAATGACGGCCTGGACCTTCACAGGTGACTCAGGAATGGCTGATGTGCTCACTGTGCCTGGCAGGTGATGGACGTGTTACATTCAATGGGCCCAGAAACTGTGGTCATCACCAGCTCCAACCTGCCCTCCCCAAGGGGCAGTGACTACCTGATCGCCCTGGGAAGCCAGAGGATCAGTGAGTCCCCTGCCCGCCCCGCCCTGGCACTGAGCTCCTTCCCGCCTTTCCCCTCCATGCCCTGCAGCCTTCTGAAAAGGCTTGGGGATTAGGAGGAAGAAAACCATGCCTTACTCAGCAGGGAGTCTCTTTCCTTCACTGCTGTCACTCCCTGCCCTGCCCTGTCCTGTCCTGTACTGAGAAAGGGGAGGTGGAAAGCAGGATGGGGGAGGGTGTCCATCAGCAGGGCCACAGTGGAGCTTGGGGTGCTGACACCTCCCCCATAGTCAACCAGCACCCTGCTGGGGCCAGTCAGCCAGGGAACCAGGTGTCCACAAGCCTGACCCCCACAGAACAGGGACTGGTGCTGACCTCACAGGACGAGGCGGGGTGGGAATGGTGATGGGTGGCACATGGAGCCCCTGGGTTCTCATCTCACCCAGGAGCACTGCCTGGGTTGGTGCTTTGTGCCCCCCTCAGACTCACTCAGGAGGCTGGGGTCACACTCCTGCCCCGGGGAGCAGCTCCACAAGCACCTTCTCACTGCTCCCTGTCGTCTCTGTGCAGGAGCACACATGCACACCCACCCTTACACACTCACACGTACACTGTGATCCATACCAAGGGTGCACTTGCACACACACACACACACACACTCCTGTCCTTGCTCACTCACCTACACTCACTTCAGTGAGTTCACACAGTCCCTTCAGCACTAGGCACCGTGGTTGCCCAGGCTCCCTCCTAGGGCCACAGGAGCCAGTCCCTTGTCAGCCACACAGTTTCCACCCCTCGTCTGTCCTCACTACAGCCACCTGGGATATTCCTCATCTTTCCCTTTATCCCCTGAGACAGAGAAGGCACTGTGGGGCATTGGGAGCACCCAGCCGGCCCTGAGCCTTGGGTTCTGTTCTGGTGAGCCACCACTGGTGAAGTTTCCTGCTGGCCTGGGCTGAGAGTCCAGCACTGAAATCTGGGCTCTCTCTCAGGACCAAAGTGCTGCAGCCTCGGCTACCGGAGCCTCTTCCGCCACAGCAGTCCCTCGGAGCCCATCCTCAAATGTAGTCACTGAGCTGAGGAGTAAATCTGGGTGCTGTGTCCCTCCTGTTCGTCCCGCAGTCCAGCTCAGGACTCAGGGCTGGTTCTTTGACCTTCTGTGCTGCGTGCACTTCGCAGTGTCTTATGAAGTCGTTCTGTGTGACGCCTGGTCGGCTCACAGCCTTGTCTGTCCTCTGTGAACCTCCTAGACATGTTGGGCAGGTGAGCCCTGCCATCTCTGAATGTGGGAAGGGCAGTTGCAGGTGCAGGAGGCTGGTAGGAGACAGGAGCCAGGGCTCTCGTCTTGTTGGGTGCCCTCAAGGAAGGGGGAGTTTGGTGGTCAGGACCTGGAAATGGATTCCCCTAAAGCTGTTTTTGTGGGTCACACGAGGCAGGGTCCTTGCCTCCCCAGAACATCTGAGTGTGGACTCTAAGCCTGTGCAATGCAAAGCTTGCCTGGGGTGCCCCCTCTGTCACCTGCCAGTGGAAGCAAAAATGCACTGTCATCTGGGCAGCATCACCCTCTCCTCCCTCCCCTGGGGCCCAGCCTGCTGCAAGTGCAGACCCGCCAGTTTCACTGGCATCAGCAGCAGCTCTGTCTGGTCCAGGCAGGGGCACCATGGTGCCCAGAGGAGGCCTTGCTAGTGGACCTCTGAAGGCCGAGTCTGGGTTGGGGGCGGTTTGAGAGGGGGTCCTGGGCCCCAGGTTCCGGGACAGAGTTCTGTTGGACTCCCTGGTGCCTGCTGAGCTCCAGGTCTGACTGTCTGACTGTGAGACTCAGAGCCATGACTCTGGCTGACCTTGGAGCATGAGGTCTTTCCATGTTGATTTTTTGTACTTTATTTATCCCAGAAACACTTACTAAGCACCCACTATGTGCCTGGCAGTAGCATTGTTCCTGAGTCACAGCCCCTCACCAGATTTATCTGTGGTCCAGAGGGGGCAGTTAATTGTGTGAAGCACGCATCTGCTCATCTGTCTTCTGTGGGGGGAAGGCCCAGCCAGCTGGAGGGTGATGGCTGAGCCAGCATCCTCGTACCTCAGCGCAGATGGCAGTCTTCCAGGTAGCTGTGGGCAGCACAGGGGGCAGACGAGATTGATGTTTCTTTCCCTCCCTTCCCCTCTTTCTAAAGAATAAATAAAATCTTTTCAAGATAAAAAATAAAAGCTTTCCCACTGTGTGAGCCAAGCAGAGCCGCACACTCACAGCGAGGCTCCCCGCCCACCTCTGAGCCCTGCTTCCAGTGGTCATGTGACATGAAACCCCAACCTGCAGCCTCCCCTCCTCCCTGGCCCTGCACCACAATGGGCAAGTCTCCATCTTTGTGAGACAGGAAGCCCGTTCTGTAGGAGATGCCTTCCTGAGGCCTTGGGTCACTTGCCCTGGCTGGGACATTGGCCTGCAAGTCAGCTGGAGAGAGAGGGCTGTTCCTTCCAGGTAGTGCCACCCTGGGGTGACACTGTGACCCTTGTCTTGGTGATGGGAGGTGTAGATGTTAACATGTAAGGAACCGGCAGAGACTCCCTAACCTCCAGGTAGGCCTGGTGGTGTTTTGAATGCTAATTGAGAACATGAGTTGGCATTGCAACTAATGATTGCAGAACTGGACCAATGGGTGGACCGAGGTGCAGGATTGGAGCCTGGCCAACACTATCCTGGCCCTTCTGGGAGAGGAACTTGGGGTCTGAGGCTTCCTGGGGTATAAAGCAGCCTGTGAACAAAGACCGTGGCCCCAGGGTCTGGGTTGTCGAGGTCTCGGTCTCTGTGAACTTCAGGTGATGATTCCGAAGGCCCCGTGGCAACCAGCCCTGTGCACTGTGAGAGTGCGGACGTGTCTGTAAACGTGAGATGCTGGTCCGTGGGTCAGTGTTATGAAAGCCTGAGTGTGCCGCCCCGTTCCCACACGGTCTTCTCCAAATGAGTGTCTTCATGCGGTTGTGGTGAAGCCTGAGGATTTCTTTTCTCCAGGGATTACCTGTGCAGTACCTGCACTGTGTTAACCAAGCTGCATTCGCTGCTGTCCCTTAAATGTCCCCCTCTTAAAGAAGGGCCTACCCTGCTCTCTGTGGCCAAGTTGCCTATCGCCCGACACCACCAGTCTCCATCCTGGACGCTGCCCTGGGTGTCCCAGGCAGAGGGCCCCCAGCCCTCGGGGCTTCTGCAAGACCCTACCAGTGATCAGGGTTGGGGGGCTCCTTTCTTGGCCCATCCCTGCCACATTCTGAGGACCAGCTGTGGTCATGGATCACGTGTCACTGCCGCTTCTGGGTCTAGTTCCTTCATACCAGGGTGGAGACAGCTCTGGCTCTCCTAGCTCAGTAGGTCCTATCCACCCTCCCACCCCTGGAGACCAATCCTCAGTTCATCCCCAGGGGACCGGGGCAGCTGGAGCCATACGGCCTGTGACTTCGGGTGTGAGGGGCCCTTGTCCACTGTCTTCCTGGTGCTGGGGAAAGATGGCACTGACCAGTGACTTGAGGAGTGCTTAGTGAAAGGGCCATGGACAAGCATGCAGAAAGGGGGAGTCAGCACCCCCGGGGGCACACAGAGGGAAAGGGAGCTATCACCATCTTAGCATGAAGCACTAACTGGCAGCCAGTTCAGTTATCAGAACCTCAGGGCACCAAGGTTCCAAGGTGGTCCCTGTAGCTGTTGGTTGGAGGACAAAGGACAAGGGCATCCCCACAGGTCAGCACCAGGGCCCTGGGCAGGCAGAGGAAGGGCTGGGTGGGCCTGGTGGGCAGATGGAAGAGCTACAGCCTAGCATTGGTCCCCCAAACTGGCTGTGGTTTGCCAACCTGTGCTGTATCTCAGGGGTACCTTTCTAATTCTACTTTACACAAACTCACAGGGCAAACCAACCAGTGGGCTGACCTCACTGACAGGACCTGCCCCCTGCTGAACAGAGAGCACTACTAAAACATGTGCTCTTAAGATGCTCTGGCCTCAAGCACCTGCAGCTCAGCTCTGGATGAGCTGGACAGTCTTCTAGGTTGACAGTGCTTGGGGCAGCTGCCATCTTGTTTGCATGCCCCTGTGGTACCTACAATGTCTTCACGTCTGTTGATCGCCGCGGAAATGTGAAGTATGTGACTAGGACCACATCTATAGCTAATGGTCTAGAATTAGCTTCTCTCCAACCCTTTTATTTATGGGCAAACAATGCCCTGGAGCCAGGACCCAGAGTCCCGGCCACAGTGTACAGAGCTGTGGTGGGAACAGACTCCCAGAATCCTGGGCCTGCCCCCCACTGGCTATGACCTGGAGCAACCTCTCTGGGGTCTCCTCTTCATGTGTAGAGGGGGTCTGCAGCCGGCTCGCGCCAGAGCGTGGTCATGAAAGAACTTTCTAAACATATCTGAACACTTCTATGGAGTAATTGTATTTCAGGTGAAGAAAAAAACACAACAAAGGAGGAAATTTGCAAAAGCTTTAAAATATATGTATTTAGAGCTAATGTAAGCCCTCCTGGAAAACAATTTAGTTAGACCATTGATTAAAGAAAAATCACACTATTTCAAAGGCAGAAGCAGAGACACGACCTTGGTGCAGAGCAGCCCCTCCAAGGAAGGGGCACAGGGTAGTGACATCGATCATTTTTGTCTATAGACACGTAGCCAAAGAGGGCGGAAGACCACATGGACAATGGGCACAGTCCAGAATCCAGAACTAGAAATACTCCAGCTTGTCATGCCTGGTCTTGTTGGTCTGGTAGCTGTGCAAGGCCAAGGGCTTGTTTTCATGTGGGAGACTTTCATACACTCGAAGGTGTACGAAGTCATTGTTTCCAACTTGAACCTGCAAAGAGAGTCGAGTGAGGAAGAGAGGCAGGTGCTGCCTCTGACCTCAAGTCCCCAGACTCGCCTGGACTGGGTGAGAAAGCCCCTGGGTGTGTGGAAGCCGAGTCCTTTACAGCATCCGCACCTAAGTTGGTGACACTCCCATCTTCCTCCCTTGGACATAGCAGACGCCCATCGCCCCAACCAGCACCCTTGGCACCCCACGTTTGCCCCTTGAGAGCCCTTAGTTGCCTGAAGGCTCAGTCCCCTTTTTCACCAAGGCCTGCATGGGTGCACACACATCATCATTTTAGAGAGGACAGATACCCTGAAGCTGGGGACTGCCACAGGACCCCCTTTAACACTCCTGTCCTAGCACCTACACGCCCCTCCTCCACTCAGGTCTTGGAGGTACATCCATGTAGCTGGTACTCCACCTTGATGAAGTAGTTCGTCCCAGCGACCACCTGGCTCTGGTACTCCACAGCCTTAAACATGGTGTACTTCTTGTTCTCCTTCTCCTCCAGCTGGCACTTGACCTGGGGAATGAGCCAGAAGGAGAAACTCAGAGGCCTCCTTCTTGCAAGAGTAAGTGCCTGACACGTGAGCTTCTGTCTGAGGCTCCCGCATTTGTAGATGACGTCTGAGGATGCCCTGCCTGTGGGCAGAGGCTTATGCTAATCCTAAACCTCAAACAGGAATCAATCATGTGTTTGGTTCAATCCTGTCTCCCAGGATCTTGCCCTCTTAGTAACTGAGCATCTTTATGGAGGAAGGAGAAAGCAGGCTTGGTTTTTAAATGGACTTTTTCTTCATTTAAAATCTAATCTGCTATCTAGATTAATTAGTAGGCATAGGAGCAGGTTGGCTTTGGCGGTAGTGGCTATTAGTTCTAGAGGGTTAGAGGATTTTAGTCAGGGCAGCCACAGGAAGCAGGTTAGTTGCTGGGAGCCAAGAGAGATCACCCTCATCCACAAGCTGATGAGTCACTGTGGCCACCCTGCACCTTCAGGGAGGGGCCCACCCCAGGGATGAGAATGGGAAGGAGAATGCACTCAGGGAGGGTGGGAGGGAGGGTCAGGTAGGAACAGGGCAGGCCCGTCCCACCCTTCTGAAGCCTTGGGAAAGCAGAACAGTAAGGAAGAGCTGGGCTCTGTGAGCAGTGTGGGCTCAGTGAGCAGGGTGGGGAAGACACCTCCGTCCAAGTTGGCTGGCTCACCATGCAGTCCCTGCAAATTCCTGTCAGTTCAGGTCTCATGGGACTGACTACCAGCCTCTGCTATGGTCAGATGGTCTAAACCACCAGGGCAAGATGAGGGGCTTTCAGCATTACCTCAGGTTATAGGGGGAAAAGCAGGGGAGGAGACTTACAGGAGAAAGAGGTTTGTTTTGCTTTTCTTCTTCTCCCCAAGCCTTCCTGTGGCCCTACCATTCCCCCTTCCCCAGAACCTTGTGTGAAAGCACCTTAGTGATGCCCTCTTTACACATAAGAAAACTGAGGCACAGGAATCAAGCAGTGCCTGGTTTCTCTTTTTGTGAAAATGCATATTTGGAGTTAGTTTCAAACATACAGAAGGACTGTAAGTTAGGATACCCTTCCCCAGGTTCACTGACTGTCACCTTCCACCCCACCTGCTCTATCTCCTGGTCTGTGCTTTTTCCTTAACCACGTGAGGGCCAACATGCCAGGACCCTCATTATGAGCGCTTTATTGACCTCTTCCCAGAAGGCGAGGCCCTTTTGTCCCTGTCCCAGCCTTGCCCCGCTGGCCATGTCCAAAGTGTGGGCATTTCAGCCATGATCTCCACGTCCTGGTGGCAGCTTTCATGCTGCGGACAGCACCAGATGGACCCTGGGCTCGGTCGGACCCAGCCCACCTACCTGGTCAGCGATGGCCTGGATCTCAGCTGTGGCGGGCTTGGTTTCGGAGGCCCCACCAGCCATCGTCCCTTTACAACTCATGGTGGGTCAGTGGGCAGAAGGAAACAGCAATCACGAAACAGTGCAGGGCAGGTATAGCTGGTGGTGGGTACAACCATCTGCCTTAAATCCACCAGGTCACATGATGGGAAGGCAGGACCACGAGAGGGCTCCTTAGTGGGAGAGGTTGGGTGGGGCAAAACAGGTGAGGGGCGGGGGCACTTCCATTCTTCCCTTAATTACCGGAAAGCATTTAGATAGGGAGCCTGGTTCAGAGAGAGAGCAATATATGTATATAAAAACACACATATATGTAATATATATATATATATATATATATTTTTTTTTTGAACCTGAGACTCACCTACAGAGTCAGGTAGACACATCTGAGTATCAAACACCCGTCTTCCCATCTTCCATTGATTGGCCTTCCTCTTACCAGACCTGAGTCAGGTCCTCAGCTCTGGATGGTTACACACCTGAGCTGCCAGACAGCCTTTGGATCTCATATCTTTAAGGGGCTCCATACGCATGAAATTAAATTTGTTTTTCTCCTGTTATCTGTTCCATTTCAAGTTACTTAATAAACCAGTCAAAGAACTTAGGCAGAAAGAAGGGGGAATTTTATCTCAACCATAGCCCTGCAGGGAAAGGAGAGGTAGCCCTGCTTGAAAGGGTGTGGCCCTGCAGGGGACTCACTAACTCTTCTGTACCCACCAATGTAAAAGGACTGTGTGTTTGTCCACTTTGCTCCCTAGGCCCCAGGAGGGGCGGAAATGGGTTCCGCACAGGAGGGGGGGGGTTTGTTCTGGTGCTGAGATGGGCATGGCCCTGCAGGGTAAATTGGGATCATAGCTTTAAGCAGGGTGGGTGGGCTTTTAGAGGAGATCAGGGAATCACCCCACAGGTGGGGTGGTAGGGATGGGGGTGGGGGTGGGCCCTGGAGAAGCCTTTGAGTGGCCCTGGCGCCATGTGGGACAGATTACCTGGGTGGGGGGGACACCCAGGGACAAGTGGGAGCTGAACCAGAGAGCCAGAGAGGACAGAAGAGAGAGAAGCCTGTGCTCAGTGGGCACCAGGAGTAGCCAAGGGAAAGGGACAGGAGCCACCAGGGCGTCCTAGAGTCTAGGATCGGTTTCTGCCTGATCTTCTTCCCAAGTGCATTGGACGGCCCTGTACCCCTCATCTGCAAGGCCCAGCCAGCGGCCCCTCTTGTGCCAGCCACTCTGGATGTCACCACTGAGTGACCCAGGGACACAGCAAAGGGCTGACATGGGTGAATGGAGGAGGCAGCATGGAGTCCAGTGATGAGATGACTCTGAGTGCCTCAGGCTGGGGTGGGAGTGGACTCCAGCTGCACCCTCTTCCCCCGCTCCAGGGCCTCACCCAGGGGAGGCTGGGCACCTCCCCACTCAGGTGCTGGCTGCCAGACAGGCCCAGTCCTGCCTCCTGGAGGCTCCATTGCAGAGCCCCAAGGGGAGTGGCCCATGAGCAGGTGTGGGGGGAGGCAAGCGTTTCAGGTTCCTGCCACAGAAGAGCCTGGTGTGTAACCTTCGGGAAGGATGGGAGGTCAGATGTGGTGGAACCCTGGGGAGAAGGGAAGGAAAGCCCCCCAACAATTCATATATAAGTAAATGAATGAATGTAGCACAGAAAAGGGACTATATAGCAGACCCAACAAGCTCATGGGACTACAAGGCAGGCCCGAAAAATTAATTTCTGAAAGGATCCACACAGGGTGATCTGACGTGAATCCCTGGCTGGGCAGGTGGTGGTGAGTAATCACGTTATAGGCATATGCTTCCTTAGCAAAGGTCAATCTTTACCTTCAGTAAGCCCTGCCCATGGTTCTTATGCATCCAGGGTAACATACCTTCAAAAAGTCAGAGTAGCTTCCTTTTCCAGGCCGTTTGTGGGCATAATCAGAGTGGCAACGGTGGATGACCTGGAAGCCTGTCACCTTGCTGCCCACACACCGTCTCTATTCACTGTACATGTTCCATGTTAACTGTCCTGCACCCACTGATGTGCAAGAAGAATGTCTCTCCATTTTGTTCCCCCCACGTGTTGTCACAGGTCCTTGCTGGGGAGTTCAGCATGGCCTGTGTGACTCCACCTGGAGAGGATGGTGGACACTTCCTCCCGGTGTCCCCTGGGATCTCTCCCTGTGCCTTTTTCCTGTGCTGAGTGTGCTGTGTATCCTTTTGCCCAAACAGCTCAGAGCCCTGCATCCTCTGGGCCTAGCAGGTCATGGAGCCTGGGCTTGGAGTTCCCTGACATGTGGTCCTTTACAGAAAAAGTCTGCTGAGTCCAATCTGCATAAACATAAACACCAATATGGACACACCTAAGAAAATAAGCAATTATTCTGCACTGTACTCTACAGCGACTCACAATTGTGTTGTTTTCTGGTGAGATTCCTTTGCTCATGAAGGGAAGAGCCATAGTATAGAAATCTCGGGGTACAGGAGCCATCAGGGCTGGTTGCAGTCCATGACCAGAGCCCTCCCCTCACCTCTGAGCTGTAGCCCCCTGTGACCACATGGTGCTCCTGGCAGGCGGACATGACCAGTCCGGTGCCAGCCAGCTGCTGTTGGAGGACAGCAGGCGTCCGTCCACCTGGCCATGCTTCTCTGAAACCGGGGGCAGATGTTGAACTTGACCACCAAGCCCTGTCCTTCAGGAAGCCTGTGTTCAGAAGTCCCTGTTGATTCCACTCCCTGTGGGATCTTTAAAAACGCTTCCCCAAGAACTGGCTCTCGTGCCGTGCAGCCCGCCCACTTTGAGCCCACCAGGCGGTGCTTCTCGGTGTGTTTGGAGCTGTGTGACCGCCACCGCAGTCGACCGAGAACACGTTCACCCCAGGAGATGTTTTTAGCTGTTGTCCTCCCTGCCCTGGTCACCACTCATCTTTCTGTCTCAGGTCCCCTGACAGGACTGTAGAACAACTGGGGTCCTGCAGCGAAGGGGGGGGTCATGTCTGGCCGCTTTCCCTGAGCACGAGTTCAGCGTTCACGTTGCAACACGGGTCAGAACCACTCCTTTCATGCCTGTGTGACATTCCATCATGGGCATGGGCCATGTGTTTATTTGTCCATGGGGCTTGTCCCCTACTGCCTCTCCACCCTGGTTCCTGGGACTAAAACTGCTGTGAGCACAGGGTTCTGAGGGGGCTTGCCTGCTGTTCGCCGAGGATCTAGGAGTGGTGGCCGTGTTTGAGTTTTGGTTTTCTTTTTAGAATTTTGAAGATTTATTTTAGGGAAGGAGGGAGAGTAAGAAACATCAATGTGTGGTTGTTTTTGGACTGCCTCCTACTTAGGACCTGGCCCATAAACCAAGCATATGCTCTGACTGGGAGTTGAACCAATGACCCTTTGGTTTGCAGGCTGGTGCTCAGTCCACTGAGCTGCACCTGCCAAGGCTGGTGTTTAACTTTGAAGAGCTGCCAGACTGTCAGTGGCCAGAAGATCCAGAGCCAGGATGAAGCCTTAGCGGTAAGGAGACCTTCCAGGCCCTGGTGAGGGACTAGAGGTGCTGATCACAGTGGGGAGGGGACAGCCACATGCTCATGGAGGTGGGAGACAGGCACCCTCAGCGGCCATAATACCAGACTCTGGTCGGCTGCCTGGAGGGCTGGGGGATGCACTGCAAATTTCCCTTTGGCCACCTGGTTGGTCCCTTGCAGCTTCGTGCTCTGTCAGGTCTGGTGAACCTGCTCCCTGCTCTGCTTGTCACAGCAGCCCCTGTCTGAGCTAACTGGGGTGGCCGGGACAGAGTGTCAGGGAGGGAGCCCTCCTGCTGGGAGGGTCCCCGAGCCAGATGACTGTGGGGCAGGAAAGAAACAGTCCAGGGGGACAGGCACCCCTGGTTATGAGAAGGACAGGAGACTCACATATTCTACTTCCACAGTGCCACCCCCAGAGTTGGTGCTGGGCAGCTGGCCTGCCTACGTGTGCATGTGTGTTTGTGGGTGTGCACGTGCATGGTGAGGAACCCTCCTGTGAGAGCCCACACTCGGCCGGAGAGTACAGGGCAGCCCCTGCAACATCACAGGCACCTTCCACACAGCCCACAAGGAAGGTGGGCCCTCCTGCAGCCCTTCTGAGAGGTCGGGCCCTGGTTGCTGCAGGACTCCCAGCCCGAAGCCCTGGGCTGACAGGGGAGGGACAAGGCTTCCACACTGGGCCTTGGGTGAGCAGGCTCCTAGGCCAAGGGTCTGAGACTGGGAGACCGCGTTAGTGCTCTGGCACCAGATTTTCCGAATGTGTGTGCACGATTCAGGGCCCGTGTAGGAGCCTTCCGTACGGTGGTGGGGGTCCTGGTGGCTTAGGGCACTGGTGCTGGTTCTGTGGGAGGCTGACAATGGGCCCATTGCCTGCCACTGGGCCCTTCCACTTCCCACCCCAGCTGTGTCCAAGCCTGGCCCCCTGCTCTGGTTCAGCTGGCACTTTCCCAAGGCCTGACTTGTCCTCAGTGGGTATTCTGCCACAAGGCATTGTGCTCTGGAGGGCAAGAAGCTCCCAGCTCCCAGCAACTTACTGGGCACATGGCAGCAGGTGTTTGTTGAATGAATGAGTGAGTGAGTGAGTGGCTTCCCAGAGTGGACCTGTGCTGGGAGCTGTTGTGGCTTGGAGTTTGCTCTGTTTGGGGCCAGATGAGGAAGGACAGTAGGCCCAGTCTGGCTGGCACCTCAATCCAGAATATGGGCACCCATAGTGTACAGATCGGGGTGGTGAATATGTACCTTCATACTTCAAGCCAGAGAGAATGGGGAGAGTGGCTTTCACCTGGCAAAACTCTCACTGGGCAAAGCTGTCCCTGGACAGGCAAGGGCAGATCCGGGGCGGCTCCAGGTTCTCTGTCAACTCCTTCCCCAATTAGGCCAGACCCCGTGAGAGTGCATGAGGGGTGTGAGTGCTGGCCCTGCCTGCCTGTTCTGGGTAAGAGGGTGGGGGGCACGAATGAAGGCCTGGACCTTCACAGGTGACTCAGGAGTGGCTGATGTGCTCACTGTGCCTGGCAGGTGATGGACGTGCTCCATTCAATGGGCCCAGAAACTGTGGTCATCACCAGCTCCAACCTGCCCTCCCCAAGGGGCAGTGACTACCTG